TATGCAAATTAATGCAACCTGACAATTACTTACTAAAGATTTTATATACTCCAGTGTTACGAAGTATCAAAATGTCAGCATATGATATTTAAGCACCAAATGGTACTATGAACAACACAAAAATAAATGATAATATATTGTTATGATATTCAGTGCAAATAGGGCTGATGTATAGGGGACAACTGGCAGAAGAATGGGAGAAAACAAATGACTCAGAAATTTCTTAGCACCTTGTGATGTAGTCAGAGAGACAATAATGTGGCAACTTGGACGAACCCCCACATACTCAGTTCAAAAATTTCACAGCTGTCAAAAAGGTATACAGAAGTAAATACACCTATAGTCCAATTTCCAATAAGGAGAATTTGCAGTTTAGAAGGGATTACTGTAAATTCTCCTCTAAGTTATCAGAAAGGAAGTCGCTCTTTATATATTCAAGACAGTGCTATTGCTATGATTTCCCTTGGCTTAACACTATGAATTCAATTTTATGTGAAAGGCAAACATAGCAGAGATATATTTTCTGTAAACCCACAATAAGTCAATCAAACATTAATCTCTGATAAAATGCAACTTCTGAAGATATAGATGTAAAGGTCAGGTAGTCCCTGAATAGCCAATGCTCAATAAATGACTACCCAAGAAAGAAAGTGACAATGAAAGAATAAGCTAGCCCCTTTTTTTATGCCCGGCCACTGATACTTTACTTTTATCCCCTCCTCCTGGGAAGATAGAGCGAAGTCTGGCTTTCTTATTCTTCTCTTCAGGGGCCATGGGAAGTGGTTTGGAGCTGTGGTTGAGTGCCGAAGAATCCCGGTTGTTACTATTCATCCTCAGTGGGGGAGCAGGGGGTTTCTCTTCATTATCCAGACTGTCAGACATTTTCAGTTACAACTAATTGCACAGCTCCTAAAGAAGGAGGAAGAGAAAACAGGAGTTAAGAAAGGAGCAGTATAAAAGACAATCTAATAAATATGGGGATTCTAACATCTTAGAAATAAAAGCATTGGTCTCATGTTGTCTCAGGGTTTGCATTGACAATTTTGAGGGGTTTCTTTTCTAGAGGGGAAGGTGTTGCCACCCTAAAGACCAACAATGCAATTTCCCAAAGAGAAGAGTGAAGGCAATAATTAATGGCTTTTCAATATGCATGCACAAACACATAAGGTCTCTTCCTTTTCTCACAATGAAACTCTATTTTCTGTTGTCCACTTAGTCTTTTAATTGACAATTTATAATCTTCTCTAAAAATTCCGTCCTGTTAATTGTCATGGTCAGGTAGCACAATCTCCTTACAGTTCATAATGGACACAGGTTTGGCTGTTGATTTTTAATGGCCAACAACAATGATTTGTTGGCTGCTTTGACATTGGGATGGCTTTGGTGTCTGATTCTTACCTGTGTATACCTGACTTACAAAACACACTCTACTGTTTTGTGAGAAAGAACTGAGAAGCAATCTAGTAGACCTGGCAGTTTCAGCAGCATTGGGGTGTACTGATAGAGGAAACAATGCCCCAACTTTAGGTAGTGGGTAGAAGATAAAGCTGAGCCAAATGTCACCATGAGCAATGAGAAGCTCCAATGAGAGGACTACTTCCTGAGGAGATAACCACAAGCTGATTCCTTGTCATATTTTATATCCTGGAACGGGAAACAAGGTAGTTGGCAGGAGTAACAAAGTCGTAAGAACCAGTCTGGGTTTTAGCTGCTCTTAATTTTCTTTGGTATCTTTATTCTTTAGTATTCTGTGCTTCAGGCTGATTACATTCGGATTTCATCCCACTGGAAGGGTAAAGGGAACTGGAAAAGCATGGACTCCCAAAGGAAATGTTTGTTTCCAGCTGTTTTCCTATTCTAATTCGAGTCCTTCATTAGGTTCCTGAAACTTGCCATGCAAGTCAGGTGTTAAGAGTACTCTTCAAGTGGATCTGTAGTTTGAAAACAAGGAAAATTAAATTCTGTTGTAACAAAAATCTACGTAAATTTGAGAATTAACTAGCACTAATTTAAAAGCATAAGAACTCTCCTAACACAAGAACTCTCCTTAGCACATCACTTTATTCCAACATTTAGTATAAACAAACCTAAGTAGAACAACAACAAAACCAGGATCTCCTCATTCATTATCTGCTGTAATGAGAAATAATATATCATAATTTTTTAGCCCTTTAGTTGTTACATTGTTTTTTATTTTCAGTCATGAAGTCTAATTAAGTTATATCATGTTATATAGAATTTTTTTTTATTTTACTATATTCTAAATTTTCTCAAATATCTACAGCCTGTAATATTCAAGAATAAATATTGATCAATAGCTTCTCCATCTGCATAGGTGACTGCCAACTAACAATCATGGCTTGATCATGATTGGACAAGAGATCTCTTTTCCTTTCCCAAGTGTCATGCTTTGCATTGACTTAATGAATTAGGACCAATTCTGTATGTTTTTCAGTAATCATGATAGTAAAAATACTAAGTATTAAATGTTTTGTCAACAACAACTCAATAAGTCTTATATTTTCCTATATAGGTAAAACTACAGCACAAGGCAAAATGAAAAGAAACTGATGTCAAGCCTATTCATGGATACTACTAGTGCTAATACATATTTTAACTAGAATATGAAATCAGTGCTAATGGGTCTGATTTCTATTTTGCATTTTGATTTTGGTCCTTCTAAATTCACTGTTTCTCCAGAAGAAAAGTGAGTTTGAGACTGACTTCACCAGTGGCATTATTCCGTTTTGGACAAATTCATGGTTTTAATTTAAGTCACTGAGAAGAATTTGCCACCAGAAACAAAGCACTATTTTTTCTTTATTTCTTTGTGTGTGTGTGTGTGTGCTATTTTACTTTTCTGGGTTCAAAAATAATGCCTGAATATGAGGCATTATATAATAATGCCTTATTATATAATAATGAAATTTTATATGATAATGAAATTTGATAAAAATTATGAAATTTTAAAGTTATTGCAAAAGAACTGAAGATTTAAATAGAAATACCTAGAAGTTTCTGAAAAACATATTTGGATGATACATATTTTCTGATGACTTTGATTATTTAACTTGAGATGACAGAAATCAGAGAAACAGGCTTGGCCTCTTTAAAATGATATACAGAGCTGATTTTGCATAATAAGGCAAGTAAGAGTCTAAGCCAGTCAGGATACTAAGATACCTATGTAATTTAAAATACTAGGTTCCTTCTTTCTTAATAAATGGGTGTGGCTAACGAAGTGGCTCTTTTTGTTCCTAATTACTGTCTTTGGCCAGAGACTCAAAACGTAGGTAGATGCCCTGCTTCTTTCCAGGCTGCCTGATTATCCTGATCTTATTTGACCAGGTATAGTTCAGGTTGCGAAAAAGGGGCTACTTGTAATATAAAATTCAAACTATACTTTTTGATAATACACTAGAAATCCCTGACCAAAATGTCAACCCTACTGTGGTCCATATTACAGGCATTCTCCAAAGGACCCAGCTTATATAGCATACATTGTACTGCCCAGCAAACTGGATTTGTTTTATTCCCATTGAACTCATCAGGGGATTATAAAAGGAGCTGGAATAAACCTTTTACAAACATAGAAATGAAGTTGAAGAATCTTTGTCCAATCTCACACATGAACATGAATCATGAACTAAATAATCACTCCATTTACCTAGACGTTTCAGATTTAGTTCTCCTTGAATATCCTGATATTACTTCAGTTTTTTATTACCCTTTACAAGGCAGAACCAATCTACATCTTCTAATGGTTCCAAATAATTTTGATTTGGTGACAAAAAATAATGCAGGAGGCTCTCGTTATCTTTAACTCCCCTTCAAAGCAAATGCTTCAAAGCACACTTTTAGAAAGATAGATGGAGAAAGGGCAGAGACCTGTAAGGAAGCCTTGCTGTTAAAGTATTTGTTTCTCAAGTGGGAGGTAAAGTCTGACTATTCCACAAACATAGAAAAAAGGGGGATGTTATTATGTTATGTTTGTAAACAATGCCAATTTACTAAGCCAGGTGCTTCCTCTGAGACAGCTTTCTACAAAACTATTATTAATTTATTGGGGTTCAATCTGCCTATGATGTCATTATTTCCAAGATTTTGAAAGAGACTATTTTGTTTGTGGTGGCTATAGGCTCTATTTCAAGAATTGTATAAAAGCACCATTTTTGTCTAGGAACGCAATCAAAAAACTGTTTATCTTTAAAGTTTAACTGTTGTTGTTCACTTCTGCAATAGAACAGGAACTTGCAAGTAAGTGGCACATTGGATCTAGCCACAGGCCATTCATTTCACTTTAGAACTTAGCCCTTAGCATTGTACAGAAATAGTTAACTTTAAAAGACAACCAACAATAGTTTATATATGTTCACAGACTGATTTCATACTTGGATACTAGGTTTTTCAGAGAGAATTCAAATGGCTTCTGTAGATAGTTTATATATTTTGATCCAGCCCTTGGGACTAAATGTGGTTTACCAATGCTTGGTAATTACAATTGAAATTCATCAGTAATGAGAAATGTGCCTCTTGTCTCGTGATAACCAAGGAGCCTGAACACTCATTTTTCAGAGTAGTAGGAAAGATTACTTCTCTTTTTCCCTCCCTATCTTCCTTCTCTCTTCTCTTCCCTCCCTTCCTCCAAAAAGCGTGAGGGCATGCACACGCAGGAATATACATAAACCCATACACACAGTCCTTCACTGACTTGCCTTTCGACATAGAGATTTACTGCAAAACATTTTAGAGGAACACTTTTTTTAATTTTTAATTTTTATTTTTCAATGAGAGTTGACTGTAATATTATTTTATATCAGTGTCAAGTATACAGCATATTGGTTAGATATTTATAAAATTTACGAAGTGATCCCCCTGATTAGTAGTATCTACCTGGCACTATAGTTATTACAATATTATTGACTATAACAAGATGCATGGCAACTTTAAATGAAATGAGTAAGCATTATAAACAATTTTCATCATTTTCTCATTGCTCAAAAATGCATTCTCTTATTAATCAGTGCAGTGCCAAACTAGACAGAGAATGCTCAGTAGGTTAAAAAGCCACCAACTTGCATGTCCCAGGAGTCAAGAGGAAAGATAGGTAATCAATTATATCCTAGCTAATGTGGCCAAAATTCATACTCTGGCATACACGATGAATTGCATGCAACCAAAAAATGCCAGTTGTGCCCATTTGTCACAGGTTTTCTACCCAGATGTGTGAAGGGTGAGAATCCAGAAATACTTGCCGTACAACTTTCAAGGCCCTCTATTAAGCCATTGACAACTTCGATAAATATTTTCATCAGATCTGATACCTTCAGAGATAAACCACATGTCTGTATTATCCTGTCTGCTTTCAAAATCTAAATAACTGTTTATTTGCATATCTTACCAATGAGAAACAAACTAATACTGGCCTCCTTTCATAAACAAAAGCCCAGGCCAGTAGATGCACAGCTATGATCTAATACTCATAGAGGCAAAACTCTAAAACCACCAGCCACACAGGGCTATCACTACAAATTGAGAACACATAAATATTTCTTAATATCCTTTCCATATCATACTAGAGGATCTAACACAGGAATGAGATATAGCCTAAGGAAAATTTCCAGGGTAAACTTTCTAATGTTTCTGAGATATATCTACATAAAGAACGGGGTTGCAAGACACCTTGAGCTAATGAAATGACAGCTAAACTGACACAAGCACATAAGAAACAAGATGGATTTTAGGATCTCAAAATTATATTAAATAAGTCGAAGAACTCTCACAATGTTTAAAAGAGTAACAAAATATGAGAGTATTTCAAATTTCTAGAACTTGAGAAATCTTTATAACAAGAATTAGCTCTATACATCAAGACAAACTGAACTTTTAATGATAGCTTCTAGACTTTG